CCACTTCTGGATATGCATCCGAAGAAGTGGGCTGTAGTCCACGAAAGCTTATGCTCTAATAAATTTGTTAGTCTCTAAGGTGCCATAAATCTTTCCCTAGTCTGCTGCAATCAGTGACCTGCTCTGTGGGTCAGTATAGAGGGTCAAGGCCCAACTTCTTCCTGCCTCTCCCATTTTCTCTGGAGTGATTTGTGCTGCATGAAAGAAGTATCCCCTGAGATGATCACTAGTCCTGGTGTGGGCGGAGGGGAAATTGGAGAGGCTTTTCGTGCCCAGTTTTCTCCCCTGCAAAGGGTCAGGGACACACAAAACTTACCCATATTAAATTATATTGTAAATTCTTCAGGGCAAGGACTATCTCATTATTCCATGTCTTTTCAGCGCCTAACATATTGACCCAGACTAGGCTCTCTAGCTGCTAATAATGACGATGGCTGTATTAGATAGAAGTATCTGCCACCAGATTGTGACAGACGGTTACCTGAGTGAGGTAAATTGTATCTTTGAACAGTTTTAGGGAATCTGTATTCTGAGGCAGCTTGAAGTGAAGTCCAGCCTGATAAAGCATTTGGTCGTTACCAGCTGCATGGTGCTGTCGATGGAGGGAGAAATTGCTTGTATAAGACCAGTCCTCTGTAGAGGAGACCTTTTGAAAACACAGAAAAGGTTGAAAACAGATCATAAAGAAATGGGAAAACATTCTTGCTCTTGATCTTTGGGACCAGGTACTTAGCAATTGCTGAATGGCAAGAAGGTAAATAATATCCATTTCAGCCCCTTGCCATCACCTAGAGTATTTAAAATAATACTTTACATTTCTATAGTGCCTTTCATCTAAGGACCTTTAAGTCCTGAAGCCCACAACACCCGGTGGAGTAGGTGTTATATTCTTTTACAGATGGACAGACCCAAGGAACAGAGGGCCAAATTCAGAGGGCTCAGCACACAAGCGAGAGTAGAGAGGTTTTGTGGAACTTCACTTATTTGTCCTACAGTTGAATTTGGCCCACAAAGCTTTCACGGAGTCAGTGGCCGAGGAGAGGGGAAAGGAAGGGACGAGGGAAACAGCTGCAGGGAGAGGGCTCCAGCGGAGCGGGGTGTGGGGGGGGTCATTGTCAGTGGACGAGCCTGGAAGCTTAAATTCATAACTTTGCTAAAAATCATGGACTGACTAGGGACACCAGATTTAGGACTTATTACAACAATCTATAACCCACTAACAACCCCATGCCCTGCAACTGCCTCTCCCCATTCCTTTCCCTCCTATGGCTGGAGGGATGTTAACAGGCCACTTCACCGTGAATGGTCCCTTGAAATGTGTGTTAACTACTTATGCTAAACAACCTGTTCCACCTTGTATTTAGCTGTGACATTCCCAGTCCTGAAGAAGATCTCTGTGTAAGCTTGAAAGCTTGTCTCTCTCACCAACAGAAGCTGGTCCAATAAAATATATTACCTCACCCACCTTGTCTCTCTAATATCCTGGGACTGACACAGCTACAACAACAGTGCACACATTATAAAAGACAGGCTCACTATTCGGCCACTAGCCAGCTTGCTTTTACTACAGCAAGCAACAATGCTCAACATATTTTTGGTTCTGATCCAATGGAGGTCGAAGCTGTGTGTAACAGTTGGTTAATCAAGAGTTAAGTTTGTGATGTGAGGAGACTGGATTCAACAATCTGTGTCAATCAATACAAGCGCCTGTGTTTATAGAGTTCAAGAATGTGTCACCAATTGTTTAAAACTGGAAAAGAAATTTTAAAAACATTGATAGATTATAATACATTATAGCAATGTGGTGGACTCTGACACAGCAAGAATGGCCTATGGTAATAAATTAGGACTGTAGGTATTTATCTTGCCTAAAGTGAGAGGAACCAAGTTTAATGTATTAAAAAGGGAAAGATGTACATCCCACTCTGTCTCTACCCCTCATATTACACCCAGGGCCGATGCAAGGAAGTTTCGCGCCCTAGGCGAAACTTCCACCTTGCACCACGCCCCCAGCCCTGCGGCAGCTCCCCACCCCCCCCCCTCCACTCTGAGACA